TTTTGCCGAAACCCGGTTTTAGGTGGAATCTTTATTGCCTGACGTTTCGACGTTTCCGTCTTTTTCAAAGGCCCTTTATTCCACCGCTTGTTAGTAGTCCGCACTGTCGTAACGGACGTCGCTCAAGTCGTTAGCGACGTCCGTTACGACAGTGCGGACTACTAACAAGCGATGGAATAAAGGGCCTTCGAAAAAGACGGAAACGTCGAAACGTCAGGCAATAAAGATTCTACTATTGATTTTTCTTCAAGCACTTCTTCTTAGGGCGGCACCCATTCTCCCTCTCTGGGCCAGATGGCAATTCAATCTCCTTCAGTGGAAGCTCAAATGAGTTGGATGAAATAGCTTTAATCCTTCGTCAGCAACAGATGATTAATAATCTTCGGATGAGGTGAGACAAAATAATTCTATCATAATTTTGTAGTACATGCTTTAAAATAGAACTGAACAATTTCAACGTGAGAACGAACGTTTACGAAACTTGGTGGAAGCAAGCTCGTTAGTGGATTCGCTGGAAAAGAGAACTTCGTTACGTAGTTTTGAGTCACATAAGCTTCAGGTGCGTTGGTTATTTTACACATTATTGAAAGCACATAGTTTCAATTCAGGAGCTAGAATCGGCGTACTCGCGACTGAAACTAGAACTCGAAAGTTTAGTGGCCGAAAAAGCGGACGCAGGTCTTGAAAACATGAATATAAAAATGCTTTTTGACCGACTTATTGAAGACAATGACAGGTTAGCTTTGTGTTGTCTGCTTCCATTTCCAGAGGGAAAGCGTAATGAGTCCGATATAGGCGTCGAGAGGAATCAGCTGAATTACGGGCAATGCTTTCTACAAGATTCGAGAGACAATCATTACTTGCTGGTGGTTCACCCCGCCCAGATTCTGGTCATTGGTCCGCTGGACATTCCGAGGACGGTAGCTCTGATCTAGATGAGGAACTGTGTTTAGAAAGGCAGTGCAGGCAACTAAAAGCACTCGCAGAGTAAGAATACTTTCATTACAACCTAATATTATGTGCTCATTTTTTAGGAATGATGAATGAAAAGATAACCCAATGTATTATATGTTAATTGCTTCATTTATTTTTTTCAAGTTTTAGATTTTTTCCTTGTATCTGATCAAGTGTAAGGTGGCACATCTGCGTGGTTATGCGGGAAGTGGATAGAGCTATTGTAACGGCTCATCTTCTTATGATAAGAATTCTTTGCGATTAATTTGCATATTGCGTGATGGGTCTGCT